CTACTATGGATGTGACGAGGACGAGGCGCTTCTAACGTTGGACAAGTTCATCTACTGCGGACCGCTCGTAGTCATCGACTGTTCGCGTCAAAACGAAACGGTCAAGAGCGCAACCGTTGACGTTCGCTTTGAATTCAACTGCAAAGAAAATGTGCCCGCCGACACAACCGCGTACTGTCTGATCATACACGATCGTATCGTCGAGTACAACCCGCTGACCAGCGTCGTGCGACGCATCGTTTAGAGCAGTCGTCAGTCGCGTTCATACGGTCAACGATGTCGCACACTTTGCGTCAACGACAACGATGTCCACCATGCTGCGTTCCTCGGTGGACATACCAATATTTGTGGATCTTCAAGGTTTTATGATTGGAGATAACAACTTTGTAACTAAGGAAGCGGCGATACTTCGGATTGGACGCGAGCTGATTTACCATGTGTTTCGAGAACCTATGTCGTGGAACCTGTTGACAAAAGCCGAGCAGACGCGAGCGTGCTTGCTCACGGTCAATCATCACAGCCTGCATTGGACCGATAAAACGGTGGAATATCAACGCTTGAAGCCGCTGCTTTGAAACGCTCAGTCAAACACACCGAACAACGGGTCTACACTAGTGTATGTAAAAGGTGTCGAGAAGAAGCAATGGTTGACAAAGATCGTCGGTGATATCGTCAACGATTGTGACATCATCATCGAAACCATCGACATCGACTACGAGGACATCTGCGCGATCTCGACGATTCGCGAGTTTTCAACTGCGGAAACCACTCAAGAAATTGCGCTATGGAGAACGTGTGTAAACTATACGCGTAGTGGTCAACACGGAACGATACGTTGAGCGACCTGTAGCTTTGTATTGTTTATTAACTATATATAACTCTATATTCATTCTTTAAATTAAAATAATTGTTATATATATATAGTACTCTATATATTCATTCTTTAAATTAAAATAATCGTTATATATATTTTACATTTCTATATCACTATTTGCGTATGAATAAAAGACAATTTATTTACGTACATATTGTTGTGTACATTTATTTCTTCTTATGATCTATAATTATTTTCTGTTTAGGGAGGTATAAAAAACACATAATATGCTCTGATGTGTCTCTGTTTTTTGTTTCGTTTATTCACTTTTTCCTGTTTTTTACATTACTGTCTATCTAGTATATCTTTTCAGTTTGTACACGTTTATTTTTTATTTTTTATTATTCGGTTGCATCGTCATCCTTCGCGATCCGTTGTTGTATATATTGTCCGTCATGAACAATGACCTCGGAGCTATACATCATCGCTGTAACATCTTCACTACACATATGTATTTGGTGGTGTATGTTAAATCTGTAATAATAACACAACACACTTAATATATATAATTAATTGTATATACTTCTTATTAGTTACTACAGGGTGGACCAAAAGTTCCTTTACATTTTGAACGGTAATTAAAAAGAAACTATTTATGTGAGATAAAAAAGGTTTTTTTATTTTGAAAGTACACAATAGGGGATTTTATTTCTTAAAAATGACATCATCCATATGTGATCCTTGACAATTGTGAGTCCAGCATTTTTACGAATAGACGCTCTTACACGCTCGATGTTTTTGGGATTCTGGGTCGGCCGGATCGTGGTTGATTTATTGTTGAACCTGTCTTCTCAAACTTCTGTACCCATTGTCTAATTAATTGAATCGATGGAGCCTTATTTTTATGCCGTATGTTGTAATGAGCGCAAAATTTTCGTTGCGCTATAGTAAAAGAATCGTTGTTACGGTAGTACTCGCGTACACAGAGTGCACGTTGTTTATCGCTGAATGACGCCATGGTACTGAATTCCCATCGCCCGCGCTTGCGCTTCGCAGTACGTCCGCCTTACTCCGCCGCCGCTGCTCGTCGTAGCTACCGAATCAAATTTAAACGGACTTTTGGTCCACCTTGTATATTTAATTTATTTCATGTATTTACTTTATTCAAGTTATGAATTTTATTTAATATATTTTTTACTTTTATTTCATATATTGTAATGTTATTCATTTTATTTACTTTGTTTTATTTATTTTTTTGTCTTGTGACACTTACAGTTGTTGTAACAGGACCACCTTTTCCATAGGATTCGGCGTAATCACGAAGAAGAACCCTCTCCCGCTATCCGTATCCGTTTGGTTGATCTTCTTTATATCTGTGATATGTTTGGCCAACTGTTTAGTCTTATATATCAGAGCTTCGGCGGCTGCCACGATACGGTCCGCTGCGTCGACGCACTCATCCAGTCTGTCCATTGCTGTGTTTTTATAACTTTCTACTTATTTGCTCTGTATGCATTATCCTTTTTATAGTTTTGTTGCAGCGGATGCTTATCCCCAGCATGTGCACCATGTTTTCCGCGAATTCTTACTTTCATTAACATTATGCGGTTGGATACATTTTTGTAGATATTTACACATTCTACAGGACGTTCTAATCAGAACTATTTCTCTTAGAAACAGTACTGAGAACAGTAGAGCGTTTCCGCAGTATCCGTAGCATTTTGATTATGTCTATGCGTTATTCTTAGCGCGCGTCTTGGATTTGCGAGATCAGCCGCAACTTCCGGATGCAACTCTATATAAAACGTCTCGAGACTTCCAGAGTTTGACGCTTCCGCTGCAGCCGTCTGGCGCGCGTTGCGGTTTTCCTTGTACTAGATATATATTTGCAACTACATTGGTATTATTTGTTCTGTAAAATTCTACTCATCCGCCGCAACCGTCTGACGCGCGTTGCGGTTTTCCTTGTACTAATTATATATATTACCATGCGCGCAACAGCTTTTTTTATTTTGCAACTACATTGGTGTTATTTGTTCTGTAAATTATTGCGATTGTTGCGCCCTCCCTTCTTCGTTCGCCACCCACGCGGTGATCGATTGTTATTTAGTATCAGATCGCGCGCGAAGACGATGACGTCGTTCGCATTGCCGTTGAGGTTTCTCGCGCTCCTCGTCGTGTTCGCGACGTCGACGTCGATCGCGTTGACGAGNTCAATGACAAATACAACAAAGAGGAGCGTTGTCGATGGAAGAGAGACTGCTATCGCGTTCCTACGCAAGTACGGTTACCTAGAGGACATTGTTGAAAACTCATTGATTTTGGAGGGTGCGTTGAATCACGCTGTCTCGCTTTTTCAAGAATTCTACAATCTTCCGATAAATGGTGAATTAAACATGGAAACGATGCGCACAATGAACAGACCGCGTTGTGGAGTTCGTGACATCCAGACGCGGTACTCGAACAAGGAGTACTTACACAAGTGGCCTACTACTCATCTCACATGGAACTTTTTGTTCGCTTCTAGAGCGAATCTACAAATAGCGAAAACAGCGTTCGCTCTGTGGGCAGCGAATTCATCGCTGACTTTTACACGCAGCGTGCACAATCCTAACATAGTGATTTCATATAAAGGTGGACGACACCCTATGTGGGACAAGCATTACTCGGATACTATGTGTCCGTTTGATTTTGACGGTCGAGGTAGAGTACTCGCTCACGCGTATTATCCCAACGGAGATCTGAACCATGTCTCTGAGATACATATCGACAATGAGGAACAGTGGCACGTGCAGCTCACTGAAAATCCAAGAAATAAGGATCATCTGTTGCACACACTGACTCATGAAATCGGACATGCTATAGGAATAGAGCACAGTCCACATGACAATTTGGTACTTTACGCGTTCGTGCCTGTTAAACAGTGGCCTGTTACGCTCAGCTTGGATGATGTTCTAGCTGTGCACAACCATTACGGACCTAACCCGAATCCACCTGATCTACCACCGGTTTCTACATTTGTCCTTTCAACGGTCGCAACGACTACAACAACAACAACGACGCCGCAGCCGCCGTTGCCGCATAAACCTACGCCGCTACCACCTAGACATGTGTGCGAAGTGCGCAATCCCGATGTAATACTATTGATGAAAACTATTACAATCATTGCGTATGATAAATATGTATATTGTGACGTTTTTCGTTGTTATTAATAATTGCCCGCGTCTTGCTGCCCGAAACGGAAGGGTAAACTCGGGACACGGACGGAAGTCCGCGAGATCAGGAACGTCTGCATCGGCAGGACAGAAAAGGGGTGGTCCCAAGAGCGTACCGCTGAGTCGAGCCGACGGATTCTTTGATGGAGTATTGGGCGCCAGACGCGTTTCCGCGTCAAAATTTGCGTCGCTTGACACAACGGGCCGACTAGCTCGATGAGAACGGAGAGGGGTTGGGTCTATTGTCTTTAAATAACAGGCTGTCCCTCCTAAGATGGAAAGAAAGGGGCGCGAAAGGGGTAAAGAGGCGTGAACAGGCGCTAGTAAGTTTTAAGTAACAAGTTTATTAATATAATATAAGAGGCGGGTAAATAAAAAAAAAGAAAGCAGATGTGAACGTGCTGTAACTAAGGAAAAGCGATATGATATAGCAGAATTATTAATAAAGAAAAGAAATATAAAAATAAATGAGTTTAAACAAAGATACGAAAAAGCACTACCAAAAGATATTACACAGCAATTAGTATGAACAGAACGCCAACACGCAAAATAACAAACTACGTCACCACGTCGCGCGGTCGAAGCGATATATTCCACAAGGTCGAACGGTCAATGCATCGACAGCGATAGAACCGCGGTCCTCTGCCCGAATCGCTGGGAGTGGTCTTTTTACAATGCTGGCAGTTAAATAGCGCAAATGCACGGCCCACCCACGGCGACAAAGCTTTCGATGGTTTAGTTTGGCAGGAAGCTACTTCCGCAAGGAGCGCACGGGGTCGAGGAGACGCGCAGCGCTCTCCGGTAGCGTTCCGCCGGACAACGCGACTCCGGGCAAACTCGGCGATTAATACGACAGCTCTAAGGGTCTCTCAAATGCAAGGTCGATACGACAGCCACGCGGATTTCGCGTCGTCAAACTGATACAACAGCCGTACGAAGTTCGGTATCGCAAAATCGTTACGACAGCACGCGGTATGGCAACGCAAAGCGATACATGCAAGGCGATAATAACCAACGCAACAAAAAATAGTCGTACAGAAATTATAACGAAAATGCTTACAGACTAAGGGATGCTACTTGGCGCCTCCCGAGCGACTCCNGGGCTGATTACAGTATTTAACAAAATACTCGCGAAATCTCAACGCACTTCAGTCTACGAAACAGTACCACGAAGCCCCGTGAATCCGATTCTAGCCGCCTTCCGAAAACCAATATGGCGAAGGTTTCGTCCTTGCCAGATACTCAACGCGAAAATTCGGCGACTAGCCTCAACATAGAACTCGGCACGCAGATTCGTGGCTGCAAGAAACGAGGCACCTCACCGGATATCGTTGTCTTGGGACATCACGTTTTTTTTTTCCGTTAGCTGCAGGACGATACTTCCAGGGAGTCCTTTTGTGCGTCCGACTTGTACAACGGTTAGCGACCAAGAGAGCGAGGATCGCGATCGATTCGGGGTCGATGCGCCAGAGCGCGCTGGGATCGTGGAGGTTCGGCCTCGCCGGCCAATCAGAGCGCGCCGTGGTATCAAGCGCGGCGCTCGCGGTCGCGTGAGCTACTAGAGCACGAACCGCGAAATATAAACTTGTTTCCCCTTTGCAGGGTTTCTCCTTTGTCTGTCCGACGGTATCGGGTCCGGCTGATTGGAACGGACCTCCAGAAGGTCTTCTTTCGGCTCCGTAGCTCCTCCGAGCTGGTAGCTGGCCTCAAAGACAGATTTGCCCGTTCTTAGTTGCAGGTGGTTACGGCTTGGCGACGCTGTCGTTCGCGTGCCGCTTGCGCTCCCTGGCGTAAAGGGTTGAGCCTGCCGACTAAATCAGGACCGTAGTCTCTGTACGCTGCCACTGGCGCTTCCTCGATCCCCTGGGTTCTGGTTCGCGTCTTATTCCTCGCTAGATTTCCTGTCCACTCGTCTCCCTCGATGTCCTTCGGCGGGGTGAGCCCTCGGGTGGTGAGGCGCCAATTTTACATATTATAAAAAAAGAATACAAACAAAAAAAATAAGTAACTAAAACGTAATACGGTGTGCAAGCCTTGGAGGATCCTGGCGCTTAAGACCGGCCCACACTTCGGGACTCCCTCGGAAGATACCTTTTGTAGCAAGGGGGGGAAGCGGCGCGAACACCACGTCACAATATATAGCCTCTTCGAACTGGGGCCCGCATATTTATTCACATCTGTTGAAAGAATACTTGCGCTTTCTCCCATCCAATTTTACAAAGCTGGATGCGGCTTATCAACAATCATCCGGCGAGCTCGTGCTCTTCGCCGATGGATATGTGTACTTGGTTTTCTATCCTAGTTTACAATTGCAAGACGGTTGGCCGCGCAGTTTCTCTGAGATTGGATTGCCTAGCGATGTCGCCATTAACACTGCGTTTCAATCTTCTATGGGACACACCTACGTCATATTCAACAACGACTCTGTGGCCGTTGTAGATAATTGTAACGTGAGGATTAAGGAATACAACAAATTGAAACTAATGTTTCCGGGAGTTCCACCAAGTATGTCGTTGGCCTTCCGTAATGCAGATGGCTTTGTGTACTTTCTGTACTCCGAGAGATATCTCGCGTTCAGCGAATTCACCAGTTTTATGCACTCTGCGAGACCTTTTAATATGCGTTTAATTGATATTTATTGTCCGGATATAAACATCTTATACAACTTAAAATCCCTAGTTTCTCAACTTGAAAAGTATGAACACGCTCTTCATTCAGAGTAGATATAGTATGTGTGCGCGTTGAGGGTGGGGGGTATTCGCTTTATTATTTTATGTGAGGGATATATAAACCGCTGCATGGCAACCGTACAGTCAGTCTGTCATTCACCCTCGTTGTGATCGTCCTGTGTGCTACGGGCTGTCGATCTTTCTCCACTTCGCAAAGAACAGCTCGATGATGTTTCGCTCGATGGTTTCGATGAAGCAACAACAACCTTCCATCGATCTTCAGCGCGAGCCTCAACACAACGGTGTGAAGAGAAAGAAATTTGATGAAGGGTAAGTATTTTTTTTGCATTTCTTTTTTTGTTGCTTCTATTTGTATTATTTTGTTTACTTCACGATAGAATCATGGTTTTAGTTTTCTTATTCACAGAAAATGCAATGGCATCCAACCCACACCGACACGACCTACGCGGATACTGAGTCGCAAGTACATATTAACCAAGACGGGATATAAATATTTTGTGCTCGGCATCGGTATCTCATCCAAGGATGCTTCACCAACCGTTGATGTGGCTCTAGGTGACAACAATGGGAACGAGGTGCTTTTGTTGCCGGAAATGTGAAACACGTTGTTGGATAACGAACGAGTCATCACGTTGTATTTGTCTGGCAAGAGCGATGCGCGGCCGTCGATTCTTGTCGCGGTATCGTTCAGCTTGATAAACACCGCGAGGATCATACGTCTGTCTACAAAAACCAGTCGCATATTACTTTCCCACCAATCGATGTGCAACTTGTTCAACTTAAAACATTGCGTGGCATGCATCATTGCTTACTTGAACAACGTTGTTATTCGCGTGCGAGACAGAATGTCGCGGTATTTCACAATCTTGTCTGAAACATCGGATCCCGCGAGCTTCGCAACTGCTGTCGCACAGAGCGGTTGCTTTGACGTCAACGATAGTGTCGATTGCGAACTGATGGCTGTATGTTACGGTGTTGCCCCTTAATACAAAATATTATTGTTTAAGTTTCATTATATCACAATATGTTTACAAAAAAATAAAATAAATTTCCTATATTCTTTAATAACATAGAGTTTTTTATTTCACATTCTTAACACACAATGCGTTCCATTACATTCTTTGAACCACTAGTTCTCAAGATGTAAACATATATCTAGGTTGTTACTTGTTGGGCGGGTTCCGTTTGACCACAGTACGATTCGACACCGCTCGATTCGACACAGATTTATTCGACACCAAATTATTCGACACCGTACGATTCG